TAAACAGATATACGAAATCCTGATTTATAGAAATATATTTCTATGATAGAATGTGGAGTGCTCACTTCGGCAGCACATATACTAAAATTAGAATGTGGAAAAGGAAGAATATCTACCATCCTGCACCATAGCTTAGAATGACTGTTTTTCATGAATTATGATTTTATAGATTAAAAATTTAATTTATAGTCTCAGTGGGCAACTATCTAGAATCCATGCCAATAGAAGTTAGCAGAGAGAATGCCCCAAACAATGATCATTGGTAATTATCTATAACTTTCGAACTTAATGAAAGGCATACATTTGAGTAGAGCCTTTATGGTAAAGAAATGCAAGCAGCAGAGCTAGAATTTTCTTCTCACTGTGGTTGACCTATTGAATTGCTTTAGTTATGCAACAATGGTATGTATTATGTAGCAATCTAGATCCACTCCTAAGGTACACAGAAGCCTCACAAAAGTCAGTGATACATATACACATGGTCAGCCAACAGACAATATACACACTCATAATCCCACTAAATCAACACTGTCTGTGTGTAACTTGAAAGTTCCTTTGAGTTGTTTGACACCAATATGAACACTCAGAATCTCACTTAGGAAGAAGCATGATTATATGTTACTCTAATTGCTCATTAAAACAACAAAAAAGCAGATATACTGTTGCACATTTTTCTAGTCTTTTTGTTCTCTTCTCATTTTGAAAAACCCGGCAAATCTATGCTGAAAACAAATGTGTATCAGTGCAAGAGGAAGTGTTTAAGAAAATCTAAAACTATAAATCAGACAGGATTTTTACTTAAAGGCAACCAAGGGTGAACCATTTTTAAAGTTTTTATGTTTTCTACAATTTCAAAGCATTTAGTTGCTTTTGAGGTTACAGAAATTCTACTATTCTCAATATTCTCATTGCAGGTGTATAATTTCTATATGTTTTTCCAAACAAAAAGAAGTGCCAATGTAACTTAATTCTTTAAAATTTATGCTCATTAGATTTTAAAGGCTTAATGGTATTCACCACTATGTTTTATATTTATTGTGGTTCCACGATAAACGATATACATATTGTCAGCTGGATTCAAACCACCAGATGAAACTCCCCAAATTTTTATACGTTAAGCTTTGACGATCTTCACTGATAAGGAAGTGTAAGTTCACTGCGGATTTAAATTGCATTTCAGCTCTGCACCATGCTTTCGATGATTATTTCTTTCTGCTTTTTTCATTATGTGCTGGCTTAGTTATGGTAGAGAAAGGTAATGTCTTCATATTGTTTTCATTTTATCATGTGTAGAGAGATCCTGAATAAGTGCTTAATTTAATTTACTTTAATGTAATTTAATTTTGGCTCACCTATAAATATATCCAATCCAGATGGGATGTAAAGTTTTTATTAATATAATCTCAGCAGCGAGTTTGTATGATTGCCTCATGGACTACATTGTGGTTCAAGTCCGTTAAAGATAAATTCCTGGTAATTGCAAAGTACTTTTGTCGATCAAATGTTAGGCCCCTTTGATCAGTGTTTTCAAATTTATAGTCAAATGAACATCTACATGCTTCAAAAAATTGCATTGACCTTTACTTTCCTGCTAAAACCATAAACGCTTATTCCATTGATTCCTAAGGAAGAAGGGGATCCCTTTGGCCAGAGTCTGGGGGAGGACTTTTATTCAAGCAGTACAGCCTCCTCTGCCCACCGTGTACTCCAGGGAATCAGGGAATTAGTGAATCACAGTGATAATAGCCATGTGTCACATCTATTGTGTGTGCTGTGATGGAGACCGACTGTGCCTTTCGTCGCTAGGAGAGTAGAGACTTCACGGATGAGCCACAGAACAGGGATTCAGCCTCACCAATTTTACCCACTAACTGCAAGGGTAAAACCTATATTCATTCATTCACTTATTCGTTCAATGACTATTCACTGAACAGCTACCATGTGCCAGGCATTGTGCTGGGTGCTGGGGATACAATGGGTGAGCCCGACATGGTCCCTGCCTTCAAGATGTTTAACATCCAGTGAGGGACACAGACAAGGAAACAGGCCATTAGAATTCAGTGTGGGAGGAGGAAATGCCTCATGCTACAGGCACACAGCAGGGGAGATTTACCCCCGCTCCCCGGGGGTGGAGGCGTCAGCCATGATGCCTTGGGGGAAAAGAGACAAGGCCACAGGTGAAATGGGATGGAGAGAGAGCTTTCCTGGCAGTGGAAGGGCCTGTGACAAGTCTAGGAAGGCAGGCACCGGAGGCTGTCTGCACAACTGGAGTATGGTGAGCTGGCAGGAAGGGCAGAAGAGACAGGAGGCTGGCAAGGTCAGCGGGGGCCAGCTCCCAAGGTTTTTTGGAAATTACATGAAGAAATTTGGGTTTTGCTCTAAGGATAATTGAGGAGCCTTAGGGAGACTGATTGGGTGGCTGTCCCTGTCATGCAGGCAATGGACACGGTGTGGGCCAGAAGAGAAGAGCAGCAGGGGTAGGACTTCGAGATCTTTGGGGGAGAGGGGAGTCCAGGGTGACACCTGGGAAGACTGGGCCGATGATGGCATCATCTAGGAATTCAAAAGAGCAACAGAAAATTACGGAGAGGTTGTGTATTATTTACAAAAACTAAATAGGAACAGAGCAAAGGAATGCTCACAAACCATCTGGGAGTAAAAAAGACAGGAGAGCGAGCGCATTCCATTGAAATCCTTCAGTTTTGTTCATTTGCTGTTAACATTACTCGCATTTAGCCAATCTGCTCTCCATCCTCTCCATCTTGTGGGTTGAAGATGCTCCCGAATCCTATGTAAACTACAGCAGTAGATAACCGGTCTCTGCGGTATCACCTCACACTTAGCCTGTCTTTTCTCTTATTTAGGGAGGCAATGAGAATGAATTCAGGATTGATGACAATGAAAAAAGATAATAGCCTGGTCCTAGAATAAAAAAGCCTGGCCAAAATGATACAGATGACTAGCCCAAATACTTTTGCACAACGTTGTCCCCCTGCAAAATTGTTTAGGAGGAATAAAAATGTTGGTTCTTTCTACTTCTCCATAAGATATCCATTCTCATTTCCTTCCAAGTTTCTTCATTCCTTCCTTCCACTCCTTTTTCCCTGTGGCTGTTGAGCCCTATCCATACCTAAATCTCCAGCTATGCAAATGCTCCCAGAATTTTCTGTTCTTCTTAGAATACAAGCCCAGCTTTGCATACTCATCAAAAGAAAGACTCAAAGTTCCTCAGGGTAGAGACTGTGTCTTGTTCACTACTGTCTCCCAGTACAATGTCTGGCACATAGTTGGTGCTCAATAAATGTTGTTGAATGAGTAAATAACAGAAATATCCCAGTGAGGAAGCTTCTAAAATCAATCCTGGGGCGCCTGGGTGGCTCAGTCGTTAAGCGTCTGCCTTCGGCTCAGGTCAGGATCCCGGGGTCCTGGGATGGAGCCCCTGCATCGGGCTCCCTGCTCAGCAGGAAGCCTGCTTCTCCCTCCCCCGCTCCCCCTGCTTGTGTTCCCTCTCTTGCTGTGTCTCTCTCTGTCAAATAAGTAAATAAAATCTTTAAAAAATAAAAATAAAAAATAAAATAAAATCAATCCTGTTTCCTGAGACCACAGCTACTAAAGTGTTCAGTACAATCGCAACATTCTTATAAATTGTTAGAAAGATCATGAATGATCATTTTGTTATTTACGTTTAAATCTGAGGCTCATTATTTTGCATAATTAGTTTGCTACTTTCCGTTTTATGCCATGGTAACATCGTGGTTCACTCAATTCTCAGACTAGAAATTTCAAAGTATCATGATATTCAATCGTATAAGCTAGTGAACAGGTTCTAAGTTTGCACTAAGCCTGCAAACCAATCATGTTCTTCTTCTGTTTTTTTTTTCTTTCAGTTTTTCTGGTGAAGTTCTGTTACTCTAAAAGATAGGAATTATTTGAAGACAGGCAAAGAAGGCTTGCATAAATATTATGTAGGAATTACGTGATTGTAAGGTTTTTGAACGTGTTTCTTAAGAACATAACCATGAATACAGGGTTTTAAAAACTAAATCAAGGGCACTCATGTTGGGTGTGGTAAGGCAAAGTTTTCTAATCAAATTTCAGGGCTGGCCTTGCATTATATATAATAATATGCTTTCTTGGATACTCTTAAAGGAGTGAACAAAGAAAACTCTTCTTTCCTGTTCACTGACAGCACCTAAAATTCTTTTAAAACAACGGAGGAGTACAAATTATAAATGGATCCGTAGAAGCAGGTTTTGATAGAGATGCAAAGGAGTTACAGTTTCAAAGAGATCCCAAGGGCACTGATCTAGGAGGGAAAGCAGAGCACTCAGAAAGGACTGGGAAAATAAAAACCAAGAGGGCCAAGAAATAACCTATTTGTTAAATTGCACTTAGAAGAGGCAAGTTTATCTCTCTTTTTGTTTGCATACATGAAATAACTAGAAAAAAATTCTGCCAAGTTAAATGTAATCTTGATCCATTAGATTGACAATCAGGAAGCTTGAGGCTTGGTAACCTGAGAGAGATTTAACAAGAATCAATTAAAACAACTTGTTTTTTAAAAGAAAGGCATTTGGGAAATTTCCCCTTCATCCAAAGAAATATTAAGCAAACGACAGAGGACGGGATGGGCACTGTGTGGGCCCGTTTGTATCAGAGAGACTAATGAATGATTTTTCTCATTAGCAATGTGGACTAGTAATTAAGTATTGCATTTATGAATTTTTAAACAATTAAGCTCAGGGCCATGCTTAGGCACAGCTATCGTTACATGCAAATGGGCCCCCTCCTTGGTTGGTAGGGACAATATATTAGAGAGTGTATCTTCGATTCTCAGACAAGATGCACGCATCACGATACAAAATCAACTTGATTTCTAAACGCTGCCAAATCCACAAATTATCTTTGCGACAAACATTGCTAAATGATACAAACTTCAGGTCTGCCGGGGAACCCAGAAGCCTAGAGAACTGGCATTCTGTTTAGTGACAAGTGCTTACTGGTCTTTCATGCTGGAGAATGGATGACTTCCCAGGTTCATATTCAAAAATACTCCTTGGCTCAGAACGAAATTTTCTTGTGTCCACTTTTCTATCTGGAGGATCCCAGTCATGCCTAGAAATAAAGACCAATTATATAAAAATAATTCTATATGCTTCAAGCAATACTAGAAAGCCACTTGCTATCTGTTTACAAAGTTAATCTTAGTATAGATTTTTAAAAAGTGTATCTCAGGATATGGGGCACCTGGGTGGCTCAGTTGGTTAAGCGACTGCCTTCGGCTCAGGTCATGATCCTGGAGTCCCGGGATCGAGTCCCGCATCGGGCTCCCTGCTCGGCGGGGAGTCTGCTTCTCCCTCTGACCCTCTCCCCTCTCATGTGCTCTCTCTCTCAAATAAATAAATAAATAAATAAATAAAATCTTTAAAAAAAAGTATCTCAGGATAAAAAGTTAATCTGCAAAAAATACCACATTCATATGTTGTTTTACATAAATGATTTAAAGCCATTCTTCTATTTCATATTGTATTTTCCTCTAATTTTTTTTCATATATGATCCTGCAGGCTCAATAACTCACACAAGGGGCATATAGATATGCATGCAGCCAGTGCTCTGCTTGGGAAACCCTTGGGATGGTATACAAATTACAGCTGTGTATATTTGTGTTTAGAGTAAATGGTGGTTATGGTCCATTGAGTTATGTGAGTTTAGTTTACCACTCTGTAACCTGGCATCCTTGATCCTAAGTGACAAGGAGTAATGCGCACGCCATGCTTGAGCTTATTTATCCCGCAAGTGGCGTCACAGTGTGGGAAAAGTACAAAAGTGTCACTTGGGCTGCCATGCACAGAAGCAAGCTGTGTGGCAGGAAAGAGCCTCCTTTGGTATTACCCTTGAAAAACCAGAGTCAGACAGCCATCCTCTTGCATAAGAGACCTTGGAAGCAGCTCTTATTCCTGAACTAATATCCTTCAAAAGGAGGTCAATGAAGGACTTTGAAAGTAAAGCTTTTCTAGGTAGCCGGAGGGCAAAAGAAGGCTTCCTTTGAGACAATGTATATGGAAGCCATCTAGAAATTTTTAAGAGATAATCATATTTCTTAATGAGAGATTTATTTCTACTAAACATAGGACAAATAATACATTTGAATTTGAGTTAATTTTGGTTTTTTTTAATAGCAGAGATGGCATTTTGTGTCTAGACAATTATTTCTCAAATTTAAGGCATCACACTTATAAACATATAGTTTATCATGAGATTAAAGCGAGGATCTCTTCACACGTGATATGTGTCTATTTCATGGTATCTTGTATCCTCTATGATCATCAGTTACTCATAATGGTACAATGGGGTAAATACAATATTTATGGGATGGATATGATAGGTGGGTGCTTAATAATTAGTATTAATGCTGAAAAATTCTTATATTGTTATTAATTGCTAGGATCACATGAGCTATCACTTTAGTCAGAGCTGAGTTTGAATGCTGGCTTGGACATATGAGCTGTATGAGCTGAGCTATTTACTTTAATTCTCTAAACCACAGTTTCTTCTCTCTAAAATGGGTTTAAAATAGAACATATCTCATTGGGTCATTCTCAGAATTAAACAACATAATAGAGGGAAAGTACTTAGCATAGTGCTCACCTCATAGTGAGCTCTCAATAAAGGTTACCTATAAGTAGGATTATTAGTCATAATCCTAATAAAAATTGTGCAGTAAAAGTGTGTTTATAAATTTTTATTTTTGTGTGAATAGTTTCTATAAAAATTTCAGTGGGGAAATGAAAATTGGTATCATCTTGAGAAGCTGGTAGAAATGAGTCACAAATAGACACTAACTAATGCCTTATTTATTATTTATGAACAACCTTGCCTGCTTTCCAAAAGAGACTGTTGTGTACCAGAGGGGAAATTGTAAATCATTAATAGACCCAACATTTCAAATCTGAGGAAAATGAAAATTAACTGCAGAGTCTCTGACATGCAATGTCAAAGGAAGTATGTGTCAATTATTTCTATTTATTTGTCTTGTTACTTGCATTTATTGATCAAAAAGACTGTGCTCATGTTACTTCAAACTTCGGTGATTATGATCTTATGAATCAAGATTGTGTTTGCCCCAATCGCAATAGAGGTCAACATGGCACATGCGTTGACTCAGGTTATACGTGTCCTGTCTCGGTAACGTAAGCACTGAGTCTTCTACTAAATGTCAGATGGTCTTACTTTTCTCCTAAACTAAATAAAGGCCACTTTGGGGGAAAGTGCCTTACTTTTCTGTTGAAGATCTATCTCTTGGCCGATGTGGTGGGACTGGAGGAGGAACATGTGGGGGAGGGACAGGGGAGGAGGCGTCCTTAAAGACATCGGTGCCATTGTCGGAGTGGCTTTTGGAGAGGGGTCTGTAGGTCTGGGTCTTTGCAGCAGGATGTGACTGAGCGCTGTAGGGTGAGTTGTACAGGCCTATCATGAAACACAACACAACAGAACAAACAGAAACAGATAACATTTTAAAAGCACATTAAATTATTTATACCCCACAAAATATCTGGTGATTTTCCCAACATGTTTATCAGTAAGCATATTCATGACGCATGCATTGGGCAGTATTTCTTAATCGATTTATGAATATTATTAATTTATTAATTGTGATTAATATATTGATTTGTTATTGATACATTCTGTACACAATGATTACAGTAAATCTTCAACAATCATTTTGAAATTAGTAATAATTCAGACTGGCATTAGGGATAAATTTGGAGGTACTCGGCAACTATTCTCCTGGATAATATAAATTAATAACATAGTTTTCAGAGGAAGATTAAAAATAGTTCACAGAATCGTTTCCAAATATCTTCTATTACTTTAAAAGCTCTGATTTACACGTGATAATTGACACGTTAATTACAATCGAACAAAATATTGAGCAAGTTGTATATGTGCTGTGTATAAGCCTTAAGCTGGGCTTAAGGACACCAAAATCCTCTGTAAGCTTGTAGTGTATCTGGTGAAATGAGACATGGATAGAATTGTGATTGAAAATAATTGGTAACATGATAAAGGCCAAATGAGGAAAATGCATATTAAGAATTAAAGATTTTAGAAGATGGTAGATTGGTCAGAGGGGATATTATGGAACTCATGGCACTGGGGTGAGCCCTGGAGGACTGGTTTGGGTGGGTGGGTGGGGGAAGTGGGCAGCAGAGATGGTTTAGGAAAAACAAAAACAAAAACAAAAAGAGGCAGGAAGGACTAGACATAGCCCGGAGGCCCGCAGGGTTTGTAGAGAGGGGAGAGGGAGGTTGCAGTTGTCTGCCAAAGAAACAGCGAAACTGTCTGGAAAGGGCTCTGCAAGGTTGTATGTAACTACTGTTCAATTTACTAATTACTAATGGATACAGAATTTCAGTAAAAATCATTATAAAAATTCTGAATTTCCTGCCACCTCAGTCTTTTGAGTTAGGTCAATTTTCATTCATCTGCTTCTCCTGAGGGTCCGTACAAATTGCAGTGACAAATGAAAAGACAATGTCCGGGGGCGCCTCGGTGGCTCAGTTGATTGAGCATCTGACTCTTGATTTTGGCTCATGTCATGATCTCAGGGTCCTGGGATGGGGCCCCGCGTCGGGCTCCGTGCTCAGCAGGGGAGTCTGCTTCTCCCTCTCCCTCCCCCTTTGCCCTTCCCCCTGCTGGCGCTCTCCCTCCCTCCCGCTCTAAAATAAATAAATAAATCTTGAAAAAGACAATGTCTGCCCTTACTATTTTGCCTGGATTCTACAATCAGACTTCAAACTTACAGCTTGTTAAAAACAAAACAGGACCCAAATGGAGTCACTCATGTATGCTGAGCCCCATGTCAACAAATGGAGACTTAATTACAGTTTTGGCTCCGCTAGAAATGGAATCTTAAACCAGACAATCAGGAATTGCCTGACCAGCACTAGTGAGCTCACCAGCCATCCCCTAAAGGAAAAGTAACCTTGTAATCACCTACCTACTTTTTTTTTTTTTTTTTTTGCCCAGTATAGCTTCCTTGTTTGGCTCCTGTCTGTCTATGAAAGTTTTTCAGAGCTCCTTTCTAACTGCTAGATTGGATGCTGCCGGATTCGTGAATCGTTGAATAAAGCCAATAATATCTTTAAAATTTACTTGGCTGAATTTTGTTTTGTTAACAAGCTAAACCCAGGAGGTGAGTCTGGAGTACCTGTGGCTAGGAATAAAAGTTGAGGGAAACATTTTCCTGGGCTTCCCGGTATCACCAGGAAGAGGGAGGACGGACACCTCAGAGGTCTTGCTGCTGGCTAACCTTGTTCTGTCTGGTTTTTCCTCTCCATTTGTCTTTGGAGACTAGTTAGCAGAATCCCTAACAGGTAAGGGGGCCGAGTGTCGGCCTTCAGGCATCGAGGAGGGGAGAATCTTGTGCAGTTCTAGGCCAGGCTGGCAAGGGGACCCCTAGGGGAGGGGAGCAGCCTGAGCCTCTGAGCCCGCTCTAAAGAAAGGAAATCCAGATTTTGTAGAACAGTCTCCAGCCTGGGGCTGAGCGGGGACAGGAGGCCCTCTATAGGATCCCCTAATGTGACCTTTAGGAGAAAGGGAAATGTTTTGTAGGGGTCCTTCAGCCTGCAGCCACGTCACACGATACCAACACACTCAAATGCAAGGAGAAACGCCCAGAATTGCGGTCGTGTCATTAGGACTGTTGGCAACTCTGAGTCAGGAAAGTGGCTCAGCAGAGTGGGATTTTTAAGAAATCCTTCAATGAATGGTTGCATTTTGGGAGCACAAGCATAGACAAAGTCACAGAATACTTTGCTGGACTTGTTTTTTGTGAAGTGTATCTGAAAGATTTTATGCAACTGTGATCACTCTTGCTGCTGATAAAAGATCTTTATCTGACTTTGTACAGTGTGTTCTTTCACACTGTCCTTCAGACTTGGGTTAAACATTCCTGAAGCCCAGAATAAAATGACAGTGAGAATGAATGAGAGAAAACAGTATTAGTTCTCATTTCCATGAGAAAAGATCGATCCTTTGGTCATGCATGCTTTGAGAAAAGGAAAACAGCATCCTCTTGATTGTATAAACTGAAAACATGCGACTCAAACAGGGGTAAAAAAGTGAGTGTGAAGTGCTTCCAAGCATTGCCGAGCATACAGTATTCATCGCGAGCAAGGAAACCAGTCCTACCTGCATTATATGTATAAGGAGTATTATACATGTCTGTGTCATCATCTAGAAAACGAAACATAAATATTATGGTAATACAGATTTGGTCACCATATCATAACAAGATAGTAGAATTTCAGAGAAACAAACAAACAAATTTGGTAGAAAACCAATGTATTAGGTGCCTGCGTGGCTCAGTTAAGCGTCTGCCCTTGGCTCAGGTCATGATCCCGGAGTCCTGGGTTGGAGCCCCGGTTTGGCTCCTTGCTCAGTGAGGAGTCTGCTTCTCCCTCTGCCCCTCCACCCCACCCCTGCTCTCTCTGGCTGGCTCTCTCCCTTTCTCTCTCTCAAATAAATAAATAAATAAATCTTAAAAAAAAAGAAAAAAGAAAACCAACGTATTTTGCCTAGTTCATAATATCATTTTTTAAAAATTTTTCTAATATTGTTTTGTTGCTGGGCTTCTGCAGTTTGTCCTCGCTTGTCTGTAACCTATTTGCTCGGTGGCCCTCTCCCCAGCATACAAGGTCAATGCCTTTTCCTCACTTCTTCAGGCAACCTTCTCTTCAGAATCATGCATTTCCTCGGGGAAGTGCTTTAAAGATCTCTTGTCAACCTCGTGAGATCTACCTCTGCTCACTCTCTCGATAAGGAGCTGACATGTGTGGACAGAGAACAATGAGTCTGTCTAAGCACACACCACGCCACATAGCTCCAGATAGTGGACAGGGAAGGAGGGAGGGAGCCGAGCACCTGGCAGCCCTCCAAGGGTCAGCTAATAAGAGGCTTCTTGGCAGCTCAGGAGTGAGGCAGGAGCACAGGTGTCTGTGATTGGAGGGTGATAGAAGGCGAACAGAAGAGAAAGAGGGAGGGCTGTGGTGTTGCTAGGCCCTTAACAGTTTGTGTGAACCAGAACTATACAGGAGTCTACATATACATCCTTCCACCAGGAGGATCTGATCAGAAAACAGAGTAACATACATACCCGGCTTGTGCACCATGTGAATTTGCTTAAACATTGTCTTGTACCAGTCCTTTGGTCTGTCAACTGTCTATAAAAGAGAATGTCCAGGAGTTAAAACAACTGGTTCCAAATCAACAGTGTTCCTCAATGTTCTTCCTTCTATATTGTATCTTTTCTCATAGCAGATTTCTGTTCTGGGATTAAAAACAAAATCTATTTCATGATGACAGTACCAGTAACTTATCCAGTTATGCCTGCAGTTTGTAAATATGTCACCCCTTGTTTGAGTTGAGGCTGAACTGGCACATTATATGCTATGGTTTTAATTTTTGCAAATCATACTGAGCCCAGCACTAGAGAGTTGATATGTGTGCACAAACATACTTATATCAAATGCATGGAATAAAAGTTGTGGTGTTGTAATGGTTTGCTTAACTCCTTTTGGTGATAATTACCATTATCCTTAAAAACATTTTAGTGAGTGTTCTGTTCAAAACATTATTTTTAGAATTAACTAGGGGATATTTTTGACTTTCAAACTGTATTCTGGTCAGCTTAAACTTAGAGAAAAATATGACATAGTCCTACAGCAAATCTAAAAAAGGTGTAGATATTGTTTTGAAACTGTTTAAACATGATAAAAAAATATATGCAACATTTGCCTGGCTAAATTGTAAATTCTTTTAGAGTAGAAGCTCCTGACATACCCCGGGGTTTGGGCGTGATACAAACAGTGGACTGTAGTAGAAAGAAGAAATTAGTGTCGGCTCAACCTAGATTCAAATCTTTGCTTCCTTTAATTATTGTTACCTACTTCCTGGCAATATGAATTTGGGCCAGTTAGGTAAGCTTTTAGGCCTCAGGTTTGTCCTTTCTAAGATGAGATTATATCTACATCAGAGGGTTGTTATGGAAATGGAATGAAGCCGCATATACAATAAGACCTAGAACAATGCCTAGAATATAAGCTATGCTCAAGGAACATTACATATTTAAGGATAAAATAGTGAATGAATCCAGGTTATTGGATGGAATGCTACCTGATTATACGCCTGTGAAAGTAGACCTATATCTGTATAATAATAATTAAAGATTTTGCTCGGCAACATCTTTATCTCAACATTTCCAGAAATACTCCAGCAAGAAACTCAATCATTCTGTGTCCAGTAATAAATAAGCTGGATTTTCCGAGACAGTTTTCTTGATATAAAATATTCTGTTAGGATTGCCATAAAAATATTCTTGTACTTTTTTAGACTGAGCTTTGGTATGGATCTTATATCCTATTTTTTTTCCCTCAGAAATGTGGTAATTGCATTTTTCATCTGGAAATTGAGGGATTTGTGCCATATCTAAATTTTGTTTCTAAGAATATATGGTTCTGATAATTGCTATAAATACAGATTAACATTAAGAGCTACTTGACTTTGTTATGAATCACCTCTTCATTCATTTAAGGCTCTTTCTACAATGGAAGAGCTGCAGAGATTGTTGATTGACCTTATATTCAAATGGCGGGAGCTGGTGGGAGGAGGGCAGTGATGAAGCAGGCGTCTAGTTTTATTCGTTGCTGGTTTAAACATAGTAGCGAACATGTATCTTTCAGGGACATGTTAATAAAAGATCAATTTCTATTTGGTTAAGCTTTATTTTCTTCAGTTATTCAGCAACAGAAAATAAGACATAACTTTGTGCACACACGTTTCCCAGCCATCCTGGACACAACCAATAGCAACAAGGAAATCGAATAAGTAAGTTATATCACTGTATATGGCAATGTATCTTGACAGACAGGATTTTTTTTCTTCACTTGCTGGAGGGCATGGATCAGGCAGGAGCTCAGTTCTGCCATCTGCTAGCTTTATATGGTGAGCACAGAGATGCCAGGAAGTGCCCAACTGGTTGGCAAAGAGGAATATGAAACTGCTATAAGGCAATACTAAAACTCTCTGTCCCTTTCTAAAAGAAGCACTCTAAGCATTTAAAGTTTCTTTGTCATGGACATGTTATGGCTAATACTGAGATGAAGTAAATAGAAGTCTCCACAAATTTACGGACGTTTACTTTCGTATGTGTCCTTCAAGGTTATTTTGTATGCACAGTTAAGTACTAGCAATTCACTATTCAGTTGTTTCCTCTAATCTTGACAGAATACACCTGCATTTTACATTGCTACAGTTTACAAAGCATCAGAACTCTACACTGATGTATCATGCGGAGACTTCCAAAAAGGGAAAGGACACATATTTTCTACACAAGAGTATACAGTGATTCTATTCTATTTTTGCCCCTCTCTAGCTTTGAAAAGGCTCAAACAGTGTTATATTTGAACTAGAAGAAAAGAATCTTGTATTTCACTTAACGAGCTGGCTTTAATTAGACAACCTCCTGGGACCTGAACCCTAGCGATTTTTGTTGCCATTAAGAATGGCAGTAAAAAGCTAACACAGAATCCCAGGTCACATGAGAGAGAGCAGACGGGGGAGCCTTCATTCAAATAACTCAAAGGTACATTTGTTGACTTTTGGCTTTCTAGAATTTCTAGTTTACTTTACAAAATTTTGTTTCCTTGGTATAGGCTGGTTGTCTAAAATGAGACCATAACATGATACACTGAGGCAGGACTGCCTTTGGTGGATACACTGAGCAGAATTCCACGTGAAGCAATTTGAGTCTGATAATCATTACTTTCTACACAGATGAGAAAGAAAAACAACCTTGGAGATTCTTGGCCTGCTGTGGCTCAGAGATGGCCTGACTCAACATTTATAAACACAGCTATACTTGGGGATGTGCTCAGCAAGGCTAAAAAATAGGGACCGTGAATAAGAGTCTTCACAGACCTGCACCTTCTTTGTAAAGGTTTAAAAGTCTAAATAAGACCACAACTGTACATAAAAATTATGGTTCCTTATAAGGAAATTCTGGGCTGCTTATATTTTCTTTTCTATTTTATGGAAGGAAAACTAGCACTGAATGTTTAGTACATGTGTTTGCTTATGCATATCTAAACATGCTTTTGATTTGCAAGTAGAAAGACAATATAGAATTTTAATACTCCTTGATTTTCACGAACCATCTATGACGTCTGTTTCTTTTTTCCTTTTGAAAACTAACAAGCAAGTCCTTGCTATGTAAGAAAATTATGACTTATGGATAAAAAAATGGTCCAGCTTTTTGTGTTGTTTCTTATATATCATTTATCTATGTTAAAGGCACACTCAGAGATCTCAGATACAATCCTTTCAGACAGAAACCTCTAACAACATAGAACCAGGGATCTCTTCATGTGTGTATCTTCTGTGACTTGAGGGTCAAGGAAACAAAACCAGGGACATCATTCCTGTCTGACACTGCATCCCTACATTATTTGGAAAAAAGATTTCAAATTTAACCATTCTGAGTCAGAAATCTTAAAAGGCAAACAAATGACAAGACGGCATCACCAGAAACATGTAGTTGTCATAGGACTGTGAGTCACAATCTCCGAACTTTTTCTGTTACTTAAATATGACAATCATCAGGTCCAACATAGATTTGTGGGACTTTGTAATTAGCCACATTCACTGTTCCCAGAATCTAGCGAGTCTACAACCCCAGCAACTGCTGTACCGATTGACTTTCTGGCTTTCGGTTCTAATACAGATGCTTGGAATAATCAGTTTTTAACTCTTCTCTCAGAATGCTTCATCCCCACATGAGAGATGCAATCTTACCACTGCTTTTTTTTCCTGATCCCTTTCCCATTCTTTTCCTCTATCCGCTATTGTCTTTGGCCTCCCAGGGTTTGCATTCCAGGGAAGCAGCTCTTGGCAACACCTCCCCCCTCCAACCCCCAGGTATGTGGGTGTTGCAGGCACTTGTGTTCAGCCTGCGCCCCCTTCTTGCACAGCCCCCCAATTCACCTGCAGAGGCGCGGCTGCTCTCATCCTGGCTCCCAGAGTCTTCCTTCTGCCGGCTAGCCCCAACCTTCTCTGCAAGGAGACTGGTCAGCGAGCCGCTGCCTGCCCAGGCTCTCTCAATAGCTGCCTCTGCTGAGCTTTGCCAGAAGGGGCTGCCCTGACACACTGAGCAATGCTTTGGCAGAGTTTAAAGACTTAAAAAAAAAAAATCTAAACACTTTCACTTATCATCCCCAAGGGCTTGCAGCGGGCACAGCTGAAGAGGGACACTAAAATGTGTATTTTTCTTCAGTTTTTCCTTTCCATGACATTAACTCCCTTCACTCTAATCATCTCACCTCCCAATGCCCAATTCACAGCTCCCAATCTCCTGATGTGAACACACAGCTGTTTCAAGAAACAAATCGCTGGTTTATTTGCAATGAACATGGGAATTCCATGCAGCCAAAGAATTCACATTTCCTCCTTCCTTCTCTTTTCTCTCTGTTGCCCTAACACTCCTTGGAAAAAGGTAAAAAAAACAAAACATCCTTTTTTTTTTTTTTTTGGTTTCCCATGATCACAGTTTTCATGATTTTCAATTAAAAATGCAAAAACAGATTGTGTGATCAGCTTCGATCGACAAGTTCTTTTTCTCTTTCTCTGCCACACACAGCATAATATTTCCTAAGAACTCAGATGGCACAGAGGGCCATCCTCATTATATAAGAGCATCGGAATACACAAAGCCATCGACAATCCATCCTTTGTAGAGTCTATGCCCAGCCCTGCAACAGCGTGCACCCTGGCATTTCCTACCGTTCTAATTGCTGTGGGGATTCCGGATTCATCCACGGGCCCGATCCCCGGGTAGTGCGGGGCTTTGATGACCGTCACTCTCTTCTCTTCCTCTGAGGATCTGTACAGTGGTATGGAGCTGCCCATGGTGCTGTCCAGAGACTGCGCGTGCTGGGGATATGTCTCCGCGGAATCTGCGGAGACCGTGTGGGGAGATACAATGTATCGGATGCACAAGGAATCATGAATTGAAGGTGCCTCTTGTATGTTGATGCCAACTCTAACACAGAATCCGTTGCCATCACTATCTCTGTTAACCCGTTTACCTTACATTCGAGCCGTCTATTGTTAATATGCACGTAGGTACCCAACACAACAATAACAACAGGTGCTTTTCTGAAGAAGGGTGCAGGAAAGAATAGCATTTGCTGAAAGACCGTGTGACCATGTAACAGCCACTGTGTTAAGAAAGTACATGTCTTATCCTTCTAGGGTGTTGGGGCGGGGGCTCCGTTTTATAGGTGAAGAGGCAGAAACTGAGACGTTAATATTATTTTTGTGAAACTGCTGACTACTATTAATTAAAAATGCTGAAATGTCCTCTGAGAATAAAAGATATGATTGTCAAGTATACAGCAGCAATTTCATAAAAATAAAAACAAAAATCACATTAAGAAATCTTCACCTCTGAACATATACTTAGATGTGAAAGCTTCTGGATTAAATAAATGATTTTAAATTATTGATGTTGATGTTTATTTAAGTAGCCATGATGGCCACAATATCTTTGCCTTAACTTTAAAATACCAAAACCCATTTCTTGCCCCTTCAGTGTAAAAATTGCCCAAAGCATATACATTAGATGCAATGTTCCTATCTTCATGCCATATTTATTAACTTTTAGTATACTTTGCTAAGAAACAGAGAGGACTTTATGTACTATATATTCCATTTACTCTTAGTTCACAGGTATCTATGAAGATCAACATTATTACCATTCATTTTGTACAATTGATAATATGACTTCCTGCTTTTTTACAATAAATTTCAAAATTTTGGTGAGCAAGACTGATTCTTGACATAGGTTGTCTGATCTGGTACTCAAAAAGGTCTCTTTTTATGTGACTGTGGAAAAGTTCTAATGTTTCAGCGTTAATGGATTATCTCTCTTTCTCTCTCTCTCTCTTTCTCAAAAGATATGACTGTGTTTTTGTAACAAATTTATATAAAACTTCATAAGTAAGATTTTAAAAAGATTTAACTCATCATTATAGGGATAAGTACAGTGAGGATCCCTATTAGCGAAAATCTATTATAACATTTATAACTGCTATCATTATTATTATGACTATGTTCAATTGAGTTTGCAACAGAAAAGCATTTTTGATCCATTTCTGATGAAGAAGGGCCTCATCTGTCATTGTATGTAAAAGCAGTATCTTTTCCAAGCAACTCCAGGTGAAGACACATGATTTCCCACTTAATCCCCAAAAGGAATTGAGTTGGGAACCGTGATGGTGGTATTTCTACTAAACAGCAAGTATATTTTGAGCACCTCATATCAAAATCCCAGCCCAAGCAAACAGTATTAACTTTGTCTTCACATACGGTTCACAAGATGCAGTGAATTTATAGCCTACATAATACAAGTTTAGCCTTTTATTTTATTTGTCTTTTATAGGTCCATTTACTCTCATTTTTGTAGTCTTTTGGCCTCAACGCAATATAAAGTTTCTCTAAGGCAGGATAGATTTATATATTCTCCTCAGGACCTATCTCAGCACTTGGCCGATTGGAGTATGTTCGACTGTGTTTATAGAGGGAATTTCTTTCCAGGTAGTACGGTTTGTATGTGAATCTACCCATTGATATGTTCTAATATGAAAGCCTGTCTGCATTCAAGTATTTATATATTTTGTTTCTTGGGGTGGAAGGGACAAAGTTGTGTTTATTAAGACAGATAATGAGGACAGACAGTCAGACTCCGATAATAATTATTTGGGAAAACATTACGACCTAGAATAACTTATAGTTTTACTATAGATGTGTGATAATTCATAGCTCTGTAAAAAAAATCTAGGTATAATGGACTCCCGTCATAATCCTGCACTATGGACTGATTGTTTAAGAGCAACATCTTGGCACAAAAGCATTCTACTTTCTTATGCTCTAAAAGGACATCTTTGTAAGAGTCACAGATGATCCCCAGGAGCAGCATTAGAGAAGGCACAACTATATTTAGACTTTTCTTTAATGAGTCTCAGGGCTCCTTGTAAGTGTTAGAGAGGTCCTGTTGACTACAGAAGCTGAGATCCACAATGCACATGCTGAATGTTCCTGGGTAAGCTGATGGCATCACGTCTTTCAACAAACAGTGTTGGGGAAGATGCTGCTTGCTATTAATGAGGAAATGGGAGTGAAAGCCCTGTTTTCTACTTTCTTTCTGTTGCTTGTTGGTGGTGGCCAGGGCATCGGGCCTCTCCTGATTTTCTGAGAGGTGTGTAGCTGGCTCACTTTCTACCACCTTCCTCCCTGCTGTCTGGAAGCCTTCCAGTTGCTCAACATCATGGAAACTTTCTCAGCTTAAATTCGGATGATGGTTTGATTTGGTTTGATTTTTAGTGTTTGCAGTGTCCTTTTTTAAAACATTTTTAAAAACTAAGAAATACGTTATTTTCTAAACAGTCCTACTATATTTTGCCACATAAAAATGTTTGTCATTATATGGTACAAGTTCTTATCCAGGAGGTTTCAAAGAGGTCACAAGCCCCATGAAATTATATGCTTACAACTTTTTATAAATGTTCAAATATTCATTTTTTTTCTGGAGAAGAAATCCCTTTCATCAAATTCTTAAATTTTCAAAGGATTAAGAACTCTCTATAAAATTCAGGGATCATTCTTTAAAGGAACTGCTATCCCTGACTGATGATGTTCTTCTGGTCTCAGTTCAAAGAGTAGTTTCCTACTTTGAGAGGCAGTGGTTTACTGTTTACTGTTTGGTGAGGCAGCCTGTCCCCTTGTTAGACTGTTTTAAGTGGTTTTTTTTTTTAAGATTTTATTTATTTATTTGACACAGAGAGACACAGCGAGAGAGGGAACACAAGCAGGGGGAGTGGGAGAGGGAGAAGCAGGCTTCCCGTGGAGCAGGGAGCCTGATGTGGGGCTCGATCCCAGGACCCTGGGATCATGACCTGAGCCGAAGGCAGACACTTAATGACTGAGCCACCCAGGCGCCCTGACTGTTTTAACTGTTAAACAATTCTTTACATGTACCAAACCATTTTCTACAACGAAAGCTTTTCCACAAAAAAGGATGTGTTGAACATGGAGGTATCTGTCATCCGTGGAAATGTGCTACATGAATGTTCTGGTTGTGTGAACTCTCCTGCCCAACTGGCCACTTTTTTCTTTCTACCCCAAACACTTAATAGCCTCAGAGGTAGATGCAGCCATTATCGTTTTGGGTTCGCTGGATGGCTATTTTCTCCCGTGTTGAATCCTCAGCTCTTAATTCCTCCCCTAGGATAGGGTCATTAAATAGTGGAGTGTTGAATGTTTCTTCCTTCCTTTTTGAAAAATTACTCTGGTATCTTCCCATGTGGTTTGTTCTTGCTATATTGAAATTGTCATGGAAATCACGACTATCAAATGACTCACCAAGTGAGCGGCCATGCTGCATGATAATGCTTGAATTGAGCGAGCCTGGGAGAGAGTAAGCTGAAGGGGAAAACGGCCTTTGATAGTAACTCATTGGACTCACAGCACCTCCAGAGTTTCCATTCACTGTTATCTGGCTCTGAGAAAAGAGCAAAGACATCCTGTTATAGCACATAGTCCTCTGTAAACATCATTCCTTTACATGACAATAAGAGACTTCAATCACATGACAGTCATCAGCTGTCAAATGTTTATTTACTTTGAAAACTGATGTCTAGAGGGACAGGGTACATTTTTTTCAATGTCCTCTCTATCTTCCTTCATTTCTGAAATCACTGTCTTACATGTCAGAGGGCACAGGAGGTAATTAGGAAGAATAGAAGCAGCTGACATGGCACTCTGCCAAGAGAGATGCCAAAAGCATCCGTGGGAGTCAGTATAAAATAAACGTGGAGGGTGAATTTGCTTTTATAGTCATGATAAGTGGTCAGAACATTGTCACACTGCTCTGCGTGAGGGATTTGAAAGGAATCTTCTTGGACAGGAAGAAGGGCATTGGTTCTCAGATTTAGGGCTATCTTCTAGTGAATGGATGTTTCTAGGCGAGGTATTAACATAAGGAACACAACTGTTTGGATTTATATATCATGAAGCAGTCTATTCTAGAAGAATCAAGCTTTTCTGATAAACCACTGGCTTCTCCCTATTCCAAGCTCATTTAGCACTTTATGGGTCTCCTTTTGGTTTCTTAATAATATATTGTTTTGATTGCTTTATATCTGAGTATTCTATATCCCCAGTGATATCTCAAGATACTTGTTGGAGAGTCATATATCTGCTTCTATGCGTTCAACCGGGGCTAATAATGTAGTAGATACTCAATAGATATATACTGTAATTGAAATGGATCAACTGAGTTCACAAGAGGTTGAGCTCACCACTGTTAAGGATGCCTCTCTATCCACAACACAGCACCCAGTGTGGTAGAGATTACATAATGCATGGGAATGAGACAAAACATTAGTGAAAGCATTTAGTTAAAATACCTTACAGCTGAATACACACAAACACACATATGCACATAGAAAAAGAACCATCATTTGTGAACTTTTCCTCCTTATTTTAAAACAGATTAAACTTCTAAAATACAGGCCTGAAATGTAGGTAGTCAATTGCATATTTCCATGATTTTTCACTTTAAAGCAGATGTTTTGAAATGACCAAGAGTTAATTTAATTTCACTCTTTTGTAGCCATACCACATCTGTCCTACAGTCAATCAACATTCCATTATAATGATGGTGCTTGCTGATTACGTACTTCTCTAAGCTGTTCCAGAAACCACTCTCCTGACAGAAGCTACCATATCCTCTAGGTCTGCTCCCTGAAGAGCACTGGACATTCAAACGATGTGAGATGCTGGCCTACCCCATATGCTTCAGAGCCTGTCCGTAACTTTGATGGATTATTTGAGAATATTTTTGCCACCTTGCCCAAATCAGTTTGGTTGTTCTGTGTAAATATAATTCCAATCCTATTGTTATAAGGTGTTACAGTGAGTGTTAAAAGCAGGAGAATTCTTCTTAAAAACCATCATGTTACTTGGTTACTAAACTTAGGAAAGTTGCCTTGAATCCTATTTTGATGGTTTCAGTAACATTGATTATAGGTAAAAAAATAAATACTGCAGATAGACTTAGGCTTTCATCCCGTTAAACCAAGTAGGAGTTTACTAATGAAATAATACCCTTAGAATTTTAAGAAAATAATTTATTGTTAGAGTGAAATAATTATTAGGAAAATCATCTCTTGGAGAACCTAGGCGCAATTTCACTTGTAACTTGAAACTAAGTTCAGTTACAGTTAGCTCTGGTTGTGCCCACAGGACTGTATGTAGGCCTCTCAGGCTCCTGAAGAGTCTTGAAAACAGCAAATTGAATCGGTTGGTGCATAAATTGATATATTATCACTGTTCTGTACCTTGGCTAAAGGCCCTACCATTCTTTAAAGTTTTAAAAATGAGTAACTATTGAGAACACAGGAGAACATGAGGAGAGGCCCAGGCCCGCTGAGCTCCTGGCTGTAGTGATAGGGGTGGGGTGTGCCTTGGAAAGTGAGTTTTTTTTCTGTAGCCCAGTCACTAACTGGAACATTTCACAGCAAAGTTTTATATCCAGCCTTTGAATGAATACGAAATCCCATGTAAAGTATTGTTAAGTATTTAAGAAAGATACTAAAAAGTTTTTAGTATCTTTTGTCTTCTATAACTGCAACTTGAAAAACATATGGCTTATAATATTTCTCCCTGCATGAAATTTTCAGGTTTATGACCTTGACACAACATAAAATCTATGTACCATAACTAAAATTTTGTTTATAACAGCGCTTATATCAAACTGCATTATGAAATCAATTTTAGAAAAAAAATTCCTTTTTTTTTTGCCTAGAGTTATGTAACTTTCAAAATGAAGCCATTATCTATATACACTATATGTGATTGAAAATCTGTACTTTAAAATTTCAAAGCATTTTAGTCATTTGTGAATCATTTATTAGGGACAGCTTGTCCTAAAGGCATATTTAAAGGATGTCATATGTATAGGAAGTACTTCTATATTGCTCTAAGTGGAAAATAAATTATTGATATATAAAACCATAAATGAATTCACAAATTTCTATGCCAAAATGGCTCAGGAAAAATAATTCCAAAAAATCAGAGGTCTAAATTCCTGCATTGTAGACTAAAAGAGTATCTACATCATTCATCCCTGTAAGACAGCTAGGTTCAAAAGATGTAGCTGTTAGAGAGAAGCAAGAATAAGCATCATGCGGTCAGCAATTGTGTATGTGAGAAACAAGGCTACATGAACTATTCACATAGGACACATTCGTATGAATCTCAGAGGTAAACTGTTATCTACCAGGGTTTAATACTGGGTTTGAATTTGTGAAAAATTTTAGACTTTCCCTATAATCTAATCATAATAATATTTTATATATGTACTTATCTAAATTTCTGAGACAATTTCTTTTTTTAAAGATTAAAAATATTATCAAGGCAAATCACTGTACAACTCATTAGCTAGAGCAACACGGTATAAATATAGAGAGAGTCATTTATAAATGACTCTAAAATGAGTGAGGAGAATATAGTTGATTTTTTCATCTCAAAGCAGGTTTATGAGGATGACTGTAAAGGATTTTCTGGAAGGACAGACTGTATGGAGTTGGCTTAGATATAATTTACACTTAAATGAATAAAAATGCTTGGCAGCAAAATGAGATGGCAGGCAAGAAATCAATCAGTCCTTGTGTTTGTCCCATAGAGATCTGTTTAAAAAGCACTGGAGGCGAAGGAAGGAAGAATAATTTGATGCATGACAGCAGCGGTGGTGATGGGGGTGCCATCTGTCATGGCAGACTTCTGACCCACAGTTGGGGAAGGTTCCAGAATGGTCAGGGGTGTCAAGAGTCAGCCACCTGAGCTCATCTGGGGTGGCAGGGGAGGACTCCCTGAGAGAGCCTGAGGTATGATTGTGGGTCAGGAGGTCAGGAGCAAGGAGAAGGGGTTTATAAAAAGCAGTGTGAGAGGGTCGGTGGGGGGGTGTTTGTGCAGGTGTGAAGGCCCCAAATCAGCAGGTGGTGGCGGCGTCAGTGACCTTGGCTGGAGCCACTGTTGGGTAAAGTGGTTCAGTTAAAAAGCACCACAGAAGGAAGGCATGAAGGAGAAGCTTCTGGTGTGGTTTGTGTGTCTGTGAAGCATTTACCTCTAGCACATTGGCGGCTAAGTTCTGGTTTCCAGGCTGAGTTTGAGGGAAGAGTCAAAGAGATATACATTATCCAGTTAATAAAAACATCTCTTTTTGCAATGTGTCAGAGAAGGCTTTATTCAGCTTTATCATCAGCTGTATTTGCAAGACCTTTAAGGAATACATTCAAAAGATTAGGTGTCAGCACACAGTACAGAACAAGCATGGAAACATGAAGAGAATGAATCCGGTAAGTGTTTTTGGAAATAAGACCAGTTTTCACACGGCACTGCATTGTAATGTTGAGTGGGAACTTTGAGAGTGTTGGCATAATGGAATTTTGTGTTTGGTACCTGTGACAGCAAAATAATATCAGGTTGTCTATTGGTTGGAGAATTCATTTCCTTTCAATAGAAAAATCTTATAGCAGATTTCTCCTTACTGACTCCCCCACCCTGGAAATTGTCCCCTGAATATAAAACAGGTCGCCTCATTTTTTTTCTGACTTACAGATATAAAGAATGATGAGCCAAAAGTGATTAAGTGGAAAGGGAATTTTGTTTCCTTTCCACTCAGTGAATCTCTTTTTTGATTTCACTGTAAGATATTAAGAGAACTGAACTTTAAAATATCCAAGCAGTGCAAATAGAGCTACCCGTGTGCCAAAATGAAGTGGACACAAAAATTAGCCCCTGATGATGGTTAGAAGGTACCCCAGTTGGTTAGAGCTGCTGTTGGTTTTAAGTCTAGGTAAAGGAGAAAGAAACTGGAGAAACAAAAGGTTTAATACCTCCAAGGCTATATAACCCAAGAGGCTAAACATGGTGGAGGGGTTGTCCATGAAAGGAAGAGAGTGGATGGCCCGTTACAGGTTTTGTAACTATCCCTTCGTACAATTGTGATGTCTAACCACACAGTCAACTATGATGATAAGCATCAGGCTCATCATGAGTAAAGGAAACTCTGAAGCAAATATTTTTTTCTCAACTCCTCCCTACCCCCATCAGAAGAGAATTTTTTTTTTTTGAGTGTTTGATGTAGTGCCAGTTGGAAGACCGATAGCCAGAACTATTCTAGGGCATTAATACAAGGATGGGGAATGAATTAAAGAAAACTGTATATACTTAGAAATCTTGCCTAGTAAAGTTTAAATGGTACTATTTGGTGTTCTTGGCCAGCCATCATTTTAATAACAGTTGATGTCATAGATCTCATAAAAAGTCATAATTAATTCTTTTTCTCACACTTTTAATTGAATACTTAAAATCAAATATGTCTCTTTCTCTTAGTCATAGCTACCTTAAAAAATCTCATGAAAACTGTTGATTCTTCTCTTAGGAAAAATACACAAATTATAATTTAAAATGTTAGAATCTTGCTAGAGGTCCAAA